GTACGGTTTTTACAAACTGCCCAGTTTTTGATAAGTGCCCGAATGACCAACTCCTTGTGAACCCTGGGTCAAGCACATGATTAAGGCCCCTGAGGGGCAAGGTCATTTCGTGACCGTGGGCTCGTCTTCTGTTGTCCGATTCCCTGCTTGCTCTCAGGAACAGTTTTCCACTTCTTTTTTGTTGCTGTTCTTCCTTGTGCCAAAGCCGAGAACAATCTCCATTCTTAAAAACACACACACGCCACACGCACCTCTTCCTTAGGTGGCGGTTATCAGAGTGAACATGATGAGGCTTACGGGAGGGCCCCCGGGGGGAGGGGCTGGGGATGTGGATTGCCACCGAGTCACAGTCCTCAGAGCCTTTGATTACACCCCTGGAGTGGAGCAGGGAGAATGGAGACTTTCCGCCCGTCCTGAGAACTGCAGGGAGGCTGAGAGGAGGATGCTGCGAGGAGCGGAAGGTTAGACTCCCACTGCCCCACGTCCCCCCTGCTTGGGCTGCACAAAGGCCCATTTGATTTGCCGCCCTTGTGAGGCCCGCCCCCAGAAGTGGCATCCCCTCATCCATTCTGCAGACCCGCATGGGGCATGGCAGAGGCGTGAGAAGTGCCTGTGCTGTGGCGTGGGGGACTGTGGGGGCTGTGGGGGGCCCTAAAGAAAGGCTGGTCCTGGGAACCATGGGAAAGAATGGGCAGGAGAGGAAGAGCTATTGTTTGGCTTTCCTCCTCAGCGGCTGGAATGTTACCAAAGTTGCCCGAGGAACCTCGTGAAATAACAGACCAGACCTTTGGCTGTGGACGCAGCGGGGGTTTGCCCTTGCCTTTGCCCCTGACTGGGGTGGGGCAGGACTCTTGGAGCCCAGCTTCCTTATCTGTAAATGAGGAGGGCCACCTGCAGGGCCTCTGATCCCCTCTGACCTGGGAGTCCTGTGAATGGAATACTGGGCTATTGTACAGTGGCTGTGTGATCAGAACTCGGATCTGGCCACTGGGGACACAGTGAAATATCACACGATGCATAACTTTTCCCACTTAAGCCTCTGCCCTGTGTTGGGCCTGGGCTTGGACTTTTGAGTGTGTCATCTCCCATCCAGGTGAGAGAATTCTCCCTCACGCATTCGACACCCCTTTCCCAGGATGACTCCTTGCGCTGGAAAGCAGGCTGCTGTCCACGTGGCGCTGTGGGCAGCTGCACTCAGCCCCTGACCTGCTGCTGGCTCTGCGGAGGTGCTGGGAGCATGGCCACTGTGGTCGCTGTTGCCCAGACGGCTGCAGGTGCAGCTCTGAGAGACAGCCCGTGCTGCGAGCTGCAGCCTGGGCCACACCAAGGCAGAGGGCAGGGCACAGGACTGTCAGGGACAGCAAGTAGACAGTCAGCAGGGAGCATAGCAGGGGGTGGAGGCGGCGAGGAGGGTTCAGTTGAACATTGTCCTCCACCCGGGACAAAGCTTGTATATTCATTCTTTTTTTTTTTTTTTAATATTTATTTTTTAGTTCTCAGCGGACACAACATCTTTGTTGGAATGTGGTGCTGAGGATCGAACCTGGGCTGCACGTATGCCAGGCGAGCGCGCTACCGCTTGAGCCACATCCCCAGCCCCTGTATATTCATTCTTGCTGGGAGATTGCCCAGCCTGGGGAAGGCCCTGTTGGGGTCTTGGAGGCGACTAGAGCCACCCTGCACCCTGAGTGCCTTCAGCTTTCCTCTCTCCCCAAAAAGTGGTGGCCCACAGGGCTCCAGCTGTGGAGTGCTGCTGTCATCTTGGCTCAGGAAGGTTCCCAGTGCCAGGCCTGGCAGCAGAGTTCCTGGTGGCTTGCGTTTCCACTGTGCCCTCCACAGAGGACCCTGTTCCCTGTGTGCTGTCACTGGAGCAATCCGTGTGGGTACTCACCCAGGAGACAGGTGGCCTTCTGGGCCGGGCATCCCAGAAACCAGAGAGGTGAGAGCCCGTCCCAGCCTTGGCAGGGTACAGGGAGCAGCGTCGCTGAGGCATGTGCAGGATTTGGGGGCTGTGCCTGTCACTTCCTGGCCCTTGCTGTGCCCTGAAACGAGTACTTAGGTGGCTCCCCGACGTCGTCCTCATAAGAATGTCTCGTTTACAGCCGAGGCTTGGAGGGGACAGCAGCATGCCCCAGGTTGGCATTGCCCTGGTCTGTTCTGGCAGTTGTAATCACCACCCAAGGACCTCACCTCCTGATACGGTCACCTTGGGAGTGAGAATCGGTATGGGGATTTCTGGAGGACGCAGATGCAGGCCATAGGGTGCAGCAAGGGGGGGCAGGGCTTTTGAGACCAGGGGCTCCCCAAGCACTCAGGCACCCCTTGGCTGGCTGCTCCCCTCTTGGCTGTGTCCCATGTGCCCAGGTCTCTGGAACAAGGAGGCTGCAGGGGGCCCTGAAGCACAGCCCATCCTGAGGACCCCCAGGTAAGGGGGGTGTGGTTGTGTCAGCTGTAGGTGGCGGGTATTGGCCAGGCAGAGCACTAGTGCCTGGGCCACTTACTGCCCCCCTCTCCCCTTCCTGGGAATTCCCTCTCGTTTCCAAGTGCACCCACTTTTCCCTTACCTTGTGGGTCACGTGGCCCAGCCCGGAGTCCTGTTGGAGCCCCAACCCTCAACGTGACTGTATTTGGAGATGGACCTTTCAGGAGGCACTGAGGTTAGCGGGTCAGAGGATGGGCCTCGATCCTGTAGCACTGGTGGCCCTGTGAGAAGAGAGGAAAGGCCGTGTGCGGACAGTGAGAAGCGCCTTCCTCAAGCTAAGGAGAGAGGCCTCTGGAGAGGCCAGATCCACTGACACCTTGATCTTGGCTCTCCAGCCTTCAGAACTGAGAGGAACGAACTTCTGTTGTTTAAGCCCCTAGTCTGTGCGAGTTGCTATGGCAACCTGAGCTGAGTGACAGAGCTGAGAAACCCCAAGTGAGCTCTTTCACGGGATGAGCCTGGATACTAACTTTGTCCTCACACTGAGTCAGAAATGTGGAGTTGCCGGGTATAGGTTTCCAGGGCAGGCTGTGCCCAGGTCTGCCCCAGCGACAGGACAGAGGGCATGTTGATGCGGATGGATTGGCCTGGGGTCTAGTCCTTCCTCACCTTTCCCTGCTTTGCCTATCAGTCACTGAGAGGCACCTTGGATTGTGAAATGAGTGGTCTTCATGCAGATGTGTATGAACATCGAAAAGTCCAGTGGGAACCCAGTGGACTCACACTTGCTTTGGAAAGATCAAGGCCTGCACGTGGCAATGGCCTCTCGCATTGCAGGGCTTCCCAGTCCTGTGACGAATGCCATGGAGCAGCTTGCTTGAGGACCACACACCAACAGAGCAGCTCTCAACCAGCTTTGCCCCCCAGGGGACATGGGGTGATGTCTGAACACGTTGCCAATGGTCTCCGCTGGAGTGGGACATGCTGCCGATGTCTACTGGGTCGAGGCAAGGGGTGCTGTACAGTGTGCCCAGTGAACACCCGGCCCCCAGGACAGAGATCTGAACAGCCCCAAATACCCATCATACCCAGGGAAAGCAGTGCTAAGCAGGCTCAGGTCTCAGGGGCCCATGGTGATTGGATTATGGGGTGTCGCTTCCACACAGGAAGCTGTGTTAAGCAGGAGGAGCTCTTTCTTCGGGGGAAAGCAAATGAGCAGATGGGTAAGCGGCCTATCTGCTGATAGCAGCACGATTCAGGGAGAACTCCTGACTTCAGAAGGCTGCGGAGACCGAGCAGCAGTTTAGCAAAGGAGGGCTGGCACGGTGGCCTTGCTTGGAGATGACAGGCCCCTTCTCTCCCTGTTGAGGCCCATGTGGCACCCCTGCTCCTCCTCATCCTCTCTGGGCCTCTGCCCTCTGTACCCAGTATCCAGGGTCCTCCACAGGGCAGGACGACACCTGCTGATGGGAAGACGGGGTGCTCAAGGACACAAAGTCCCCCAGGAACAAGGAGGGGAGTTCATCTCAGAAAGAAGAGTGGCACCTGTTCTTTTGAGATGAGCAGGAAGCAGTGGGGTCAGGTGATGGTGGAGAAATCATTTGGTGGGAAGAGCTGAGCCCAGGCTCCGGTCAGGTGCTCCGTATTCAGGGTGTGCACTCCTAGCTGGGCCTGGGTGAGGAGAGAAGGGAAGGCCTGGGGCCTGGACCGGCTCATCATGGTTCCAGAAGGTGCTCTCAATCCAGGAGGCATTTGTTGAGTGCAAGACAGAGTGTGACGTGGAGGAGACGAGCTCCTGCTGGGGAGGCCTGTGTGCTAGTCTCCCCTGCCTGATGGGGCTCGGTGCAGCTCCAGGAGCGAGCCCTGCTTGTGAGCAAGGTTTGGTCCCTACCAGGGACAGCTCAGCCACCGGTGGAAGACACCTGTATGGGCCTTTCCCAGGCCTGTTTATTGGGGCAACGGGTAGGGCTGCCAGATTCAGCAAATAAAAGTGCAAGGGACCCAGTTAAACTTGAATCTCAGGTAATAAATGATTATGATGTAGATATCCTCTTACTAAACCTGTATTCATTCATCTGAAGTCAAATTTAGCCCGGCATCCTGACTTTAGGGGCAGTTTTCCCACGGGGATAGGGACCGGCCACAGATGGCTCAGGGTCCGCCTCGTCGGAAGAGACCCCCTGGAGCCTGCCCCTGTGCCCAAAGCAGCCTGTCATCTGGACTCAGAGGGACACGGTACTGTAAGGGAAGCACACTTGGGCAACACCGCATGTCACATTTGTACCAACTTTTCCTGTCCCTTGTTCTGCATGCTCCCTGTACTGAGGACTTTACAACATGGGCCCTCTCGTCCAGTGACACGTTTTTAATTTTCTGGAAGACCATTTCCTAGCATCCTTTGATGCTCAGACATCTGGGAGCCCAGAAATGCATGAGAATGTCCCTGGTGCAAGCAGAGCCCAGAGTAGCCAAGCTGAGGCCAGGGCTGGCCGGATCCCCAGGGAGCGGCAGGGCGGAGAAGTCACGGAGCACCATGTGGCCAACAATTGGTATATCTACAGCCTCCTTGGCCAGCAGGAGAGGGAAACCATGAAGAGAAGAGAATGAACAGCTAGGTGGCAAGGCCAAGGACGGGCAGGAGGGATTGCTCAGAGAGGTTCCAGGTGACATCTGGAGGGGCAGGTGGCAAAGGGCAAGCTCAGTCCTGCTTCCATCCCCTGGGGTCCTCCACGTAAAAGCCGTGGCTCTTCCTCTCGTGGTTCTGAGTCGTCAGGAGCAGGTTGCCCATGAGCTAGCTAACGCAGAAGGCTGACTACGCTGCGCTGCCTGTTCTCCTGTCCTGCTCCTCTCCCGTTGTCCAACCACACTGGCCTCTTGTCCCGTTCCTCCAACAGACCAAGGGTGCTCCTGCCCCCCAGACCCCTTCTGCCGAGGATGCTTCTTCCTCAGACATCCTCCTGGTTGTGAAGGACCACGGGTCTGGTCTTTGGTCAAAGGGACTTTGCCTAATGATCTTACCTAAAGTGGTGATCCCTTTCCCTGCCCTGGTTTTCTCCCAGCACACTGCACCGTCTGACAGTCTGGGTTATTATTTAGTTGTTTCCTCACCGTCTTCCTCTTGAAGGCTGCAGCTTCCAGGAAGAAAAGGATCACATCTACTTTGTCCATTTCCCTTTTGAGTCCTCAGCACGGTGCCTGGTCCCATCCCAATCAGGCACTTGGTAAATGCATTTGAGGGAACTGAGGTTAACCTGCCCAGGGTCTGGCGCTAGTCACCCATGGATGGGGTCTGTCACCCTCTGTCTAGAGGGCAGCCGTCTGGCACGAGGTGAAGCATGCTCTGACAGGTCTGTCTCCATTTCCCCAGGATGTGGCTCTGAGACGGTCACCGTCCCTGATGGCCCACGCAGCGACTCCGTGGAAGGCAGCCCCTTCCGCCCTCCACACTCCTCCTCTGCCGTCTTCGATGAAGACAAGCCGATAGCCAGCAGCGGGACTTACAACTTAGACTTTGACAGCATCGAGCTGGTGGATAACCTCCAGAGCTTGGAGCCTCGGCCCTCGGACTGTAAGAGCCAAGAGTGCAAGGCCAGCGCGCGGAGGAAGTCCACCGAGTCCGTGCCCCCCGCCAAGTCCACGCTGTCCCGCTCCCTGAGCCTGCAGGCCGGTGACTTTGATGGTGCTTCCTGCTCAGGCAGCCCCGAGGCCGCGGCCCTCGCCCCGGACGCAGGCAGCACAGGCTCGTGCAGTGCTTCCAGTACCCTCAAGCGAACTAAAAAACCCAGGCCGCCGTCCCTGAAAAAGAAGCAGGGCACCAAGAAGCCCACAGAAACCCCCCCAGTGAGGGAGACCCAGCAGGAGCCAGCGGAGGAGAGTCCCGTCTCCAACGAGGAGTATCTGGCGTCGGAGACCAAGACGGAGCCGGCCGCGGCAGAGGGCTCAGGGTCCGCCTCGTCGGAAGAGACGCCCTCGGAGCCTGCCGCTGCGCCCAAAGCCGCCTGTCCTCTGGACCCAGAGTGTGCCGAGGGCGCCAGCCCCTTGGCTTCTGGAGGTGGCAGGGTGCAGAACTCGCCTCCTGTTGGGAGGAAGACGTTGCCTCTTACCACGGCCCCCGAGGCCGCGGAGGAGACCCCGTCGGATAGTGGGGGGCAAGAGGACTCCCCGGCCAGAGGGCTCTCAGTGAGGCTGGAGTTTGACTATTCTGAGGACAAGGGTGGTTGGGACAGCCAGCAGGAAAACCCCCCTCCTACCAAAAAGATAGGCAAAAAGCCAGTTGCCAAAATGCCCCTAAGGAGGCCAAAGATGAAAAAGACGCCCGAGAAGCTCGACAACACTCCTGCCTCACCTCCCAGGTCCCCCGCTGAGCCCAATGACATCCCTGTGGCTAAAGGTACCTACACCTTTGACATTGACAAGTGGGATGACCCCAATTTTAACCCCTTTTCTTCCACCTCAAAAATGCAGGAGTCTCCCAAACTGCCCCAACAGTCATATAACTTTGACCCAGACGCCTGTGACGAGTCCATTGATCCCTTTAAGACATCCTCTAAGACCCCCAGCTCACCTTCTAAATCCCCAGCCTCCTTTGAGATCCCAGCCAGTGCCATCGAAGCCAATGGAATGGATGGGGACGGGCTGAACAAGCCCGCCAAGAAGAAGAAGACGCCCCTAAAGACGTAAGTTCAGGGGTGGAGGTGGTGAGCACCGGAGGCAGGGAGGGGTAGTGCCGTGACCCTCAGTCCTGGGTAACCCTCAGCTGCCCTGACCTCGCCCTGCTTGCCACCGTGTTCCCGTTCCTCTCTGAGGCCACCGTGGGGCATTGCCCCCCCACAGAGCCCTGTGGGGTCAGGAGTCCTGGATCTTTCATGTGAATAAGTCAGTGATCTCAAGCGGCCTCTAGCAGAAGACCTGACCTTCCACTCTAGGCAATCGCAGGAGACCTGACCCCTCCTTGTTGGTGACCGGGACCCTTTTGCCTGTTGAGCGTGTGTATGGCCTTCTGAGGGAAAGCCAGGAGCTGTGCCCTGTAAAACACTGTTCAGATGTAGAGTATCTGTTTCTTCCTGTCACGAGGCCAGCCCAGAACCCAACACGGTGGGTGGTGGGCTCCAGGAGGTGGAGGGGAGTGTACCCTGGGCCGCTCCCTACACCTGACCAGCCAGGCTGTAAGTCCAAAAGAGACCAGAGAAACCTGCAAAGGGCAGGGAGACCCTGCCGCCTCCAGGGAGCCGCTAATAACGGAGTCTTGTCCAACGTGGCCGAGGACATGGCCCTGGAGTCCCGTGTGGCTGCGCTCCAGCGTTCATTCCAAGCCCCGGCTCCGGCTTGGCTGGCTACAGGCCATTCTAGGGCTCGGGGCCACATGCAGTGTGTTGGCTGCTGAGCCTCTGCTGTTGTGCTGGGAGGCATCATCTATAATTTATCGAGACTCCAGAGACCAGTCTCCCAGGGGCAGCGCAAAAGAACAGGTAGCAGTCCCTCCGGGTCTGCTTGGGATGAGCTGGACAGGGTGACCCACTTACCTCCGTTCTGGGCTCCCTGATGCATTGAGCATCTGACCGCTGGGGCCTCCTGAGAAGAGGTTCTGCGTAGCCGGCTTTGGCCTTGTACCACCCCACTGCCTGGTGGGGGCTGGGAGGTCATTCTGGCCAAAGCTGTGGATTTTTCTTAGGTCATCTCTTCCATCAGCCTCTTCCTAAATGGGCCACGGGACCCATGCTGGAATAGGAATCTGAAATGCTTACTCCAAAGCATGGCCCTTAGAATAGGAGTGAACTTGTAGCCACATTCTCTGACAGCCTGGTTACGTTCCATCCCCAGCCACTTTGTCCTTTGAGCATTGAAGCTAATAGGCCTGGAAGCCGAGCCCACATCTTGTGGTCTCACCCCTCCCTGGTGGATGGGGTGTTGGCTTGGAAGCTCCTACCCCAGGGTGACAAGGGTCTCAGGACAGGGCCCTGTGCGTGATCCGAAACTAGGGAGGTAGCGGTTCCCTGGGGCCCCTTGGCAAAAGCTGGCAGAATCTGCAGAGGGTGATGGTGGCATCCCAGCCCGCCAGGAACGGTTGTCTGCAGATCTATCCTTTTGTCAGTTGCTCTGTCTGTCTCTCTCTTCTTTGTCTTCTGGTCTTAGGATGGTTGAAGATGTGATGTCTGTGTGTTCTCTGTTGTAAGTAATTTAACGCAATCCGCCTCTTTCGCCCCCTGTGCTTGCCCCTCCTTTGTTTCTGCTTGCGACCCCTCTTGAGTTCCTCTCCGTGCCGCTGCGGATGTGTTTCTGGGGTGGGCCCCGGGAATGACAGGGCACAGGGCTCCCCGGCAGCAGAGGTTTTTCTGTATCATAGTGATTAGCATAGGGAGACTGCTTGGCTGTGAAATGTGATTATCCAACATATGCCTGCTTGTTGGGAATGGAATTTTCTCTCTCCCTGCATACTGGATGCCTTCATCTGAAACCCATACTTTTTTTTTTTTAACTCCTCATCTCATTCTTTGATTTAAATTGGGCTGGCAGGCGATGGCTTTCGATAGCGCTGCGGCTTTATGCTCACTGTTCACTCAAAGCTTAGGCAGAGACTGTCCTCGCCAATATGCGAAGCATAACTGTTTGGATCATTCCAAATTCAGGCCTCCAGGAGCCCCCTGAAATGTGAGGCCAGCTCAGAGTGAACCCCACAGCTGAAAGCCATCGCCAGGCTGCCCTGAGCCATGCCCTGGGTCACTTAGTTCCCCAGCCAGGTATCAGCACGCCTCATCTGCCATCCGTGAGTCAAGCATCGGTGCAACTGACCACCTGTGTGCCCCTGCTGCTCCCCGCCCCACCCCCACCAGGGGGATCCTGTGAGCAGTGTCCAGGGCTCCAAAGCCAATGGCTTCTCCCTGACCTTACAAGCAAAGCAGGCTGGACCCGAGATCTGGCAGCCCCAGAGTAGAGTGGGAGTCTCTTCGGCTCTTTTTAATATTTCTGAGCGCTATAGCAATTTCAGGATGCAGTTGTATACGCATGAATAAATACATGCTTTGAGCGGTGATTCTACTGCTTTCACGGCAAATGCCATAAATCTGTAAGTAACCATTGGAAGTATTTTCCCTCCATTATTAATTTCCCATGTGGGAGCATTTTATTTGTGAGAACATGAGAAAGGAAATTGGGTGACAGACTTTCCTGTCCACCTGTTAACACAGAAGGCGGGGGAAGGTTATGGAATCTAAGGTGAGAGGCACCCCTTCCCCCACCAAAACCCTTGCTTTGCTGGAATGGTCCTGAGACCAGTCTGCAGGGTGGAGAGGGCCTCCACTCTGACCATGAAATGACCCCTGGCTATCTGTTGGACCTGATAGTACTTTTTGTGCTAAAAGTGTTCCCGTCCTCCTGGGGGTCTGCCTCCTTGACCCTTCCAGAGTCTGAGCCTATCTCCCCCTTGGAAAGGGGAAGGAATGGGAAAAGAGTCATGAACCACATCTGTCAACCGTGGTTAGAAGAAAACATTAAAAATCATCTGACCCCTGGCCCCGCCTTTGCCCCGGAGCACAGGAGTCCTTTCAGCTTAAAATCCCCGTGCATGGGAAGGATGCTGCACGTTCTTCCTGAGGACCCAGGGCTTTGTGTCCCTTCGTGGGCCCCTGTGGCCGTTCATTCATTGCTGTGTAGCCTTGCCCATGTGAAAACTGGATCCCGCTCATTAGTGTCCCCGGCCTAGGGCCCCTCCTCCAACCTTAGTTGGCTCAGACATTCCTGGAAGAATCCAGATGAATTAATCTGCTCACCCAAAATTTGCTTTGTAAAATAGGAACATTTAGTTAAATTTAGCTTCATTTTCTGGGTCAGATACTCCAAAATGGCATCTCTTTAAAGAATTGCAGCTTGATGGATCTTTCCCTTGGGGGTAAAAATAATATCTGTTAAGAAGTCACCGAATTATCAGCATGGATGTCATGGGCTGTGCTGGAGTGGGCCAAGGGAGGGTGGCTTCGGCCTGCTCGGAGCTGCTTGGGACGCTCTGTAGCTCTGTTTGTTGACATTGTCCATTCTGTTTCCAGTGACACATTTAGGGTGAAAAAGTCGCCAAAACGATGTCCTCTCTCTGATCCACCCTCTCAGGTACGATGCTCCTTTGATCCCCATGACTCGACTGCTCACTGGGGGCTGAGGTGGGGGGTTCACACGGCAAAGATCAGAGCGTATCCCAAGACTAGGAAGAAGTTCAGGGAAAGCGATAGTTGGATTCTGTAGGCGGAACCCTTTTGGTCCCTTCTGCCCTGTTAACCTGCTGAGAGCTAATGCACCTCTCAAGCCGGGAAGGTCTTCGAGGTCAAGGAATGCAGAGTAAGAAAACGAGACGCCGAGATGTCTGTCGGGAGCACTGAGCTGAGCCCCCAAAGGCAGCGGGGGACGGAGCCCTACAGATGTGGGGGCTGGCTCCTTCCTCAGCCCCTTCTTCCTTAGTGTTCCCCCACCAGAGACCCAGGGAGGTCATCCTCAAGCAGGTTTGCCTCGCCACGCCCAGTCCCCAAAAAGCAAACCTCCTGACCTTCCACATCCCAGTGAGCAAAAACCCCAGTCCTGGTGAGGATTGGGGCCGCGGGAGGCACCAGAAACCTGGCTTGGGCCTGGCATCCTGTTGCAACAGCTTAGCTCTCACTTCTGGATTCCCTCACCGCTTGGCTCACCCTCTTTTGCAGAATGGCAGTAAGACCCCTTTATGTCCTCCCAGGATTGAGGATTGTTGGGAGATACTGACGATGTTGCTGTGCAGCCTGAAGCCCCCTAGGAGCTAACGCATCAGTGTAGGAATAAAACCCGCAGAGTGGCTCGGATAACTAGGACACGGCATCCTGTGTGTGTGTGTGTGTGTGTGTGTTTAAATCCACGATCACTCCTTGAAGTAAACATCAGGGAGGGAGACAGTGGGGGAGCAGGGGGAGGGACTTGAGCAGGACCTGTTCTGGGTAAGGGGGCCCCATACTCGAGGACAGGCACAGTTATAGACCAAGACAATGAATGAGAGAAGAGACGGCTTCGCTTTTCCTTGCAGGACCCGACTCCAGCTGCGACACCAGAGACGCCACCAGTGATCTCCGCAGTGGTCCACGCCACCGATGAGGAGAAGCTGGCGGTCACCAATCAGAAGTGGACATGCATGACGGTGGACTTGGAGGCTGACAAACAGGACTTCCCACAACCCTCGGACCTGTCTACCTTTGTAAACGAGACCAAATTCAATTCGCCCACAGAGGGTAAGCAACTCAGTGGCCAGCCGGACCCCCACCCTGCCTTGGAGAATACTGCCTCTAGGGAGCAAAGGGCCAGGAAAGTCACTTCTCAACCAGGTAACCGTTGCTACTACCGTTGTGACCGCCTGCAGGCCCCTGTGCACTCGAAGCTAAGGCTGTGTTTTAAAACTTGATACCAGCTGTCCCCTGACCCCACAGTGCCTGCTGAGAACCAGCCTGCTGCCTCCTAATCCAAGTCCTGAGAGCCTGCCGAGCTTGCTCATTCTTGGCTTTGTGGCTTATGTCCCTTCTGTGACTTTGAAAAGCATTCATCACAGCAAACCTTCAGTGTTGGTCAACCCACTTTGGGGTCTCTTGGTGCCATTATTGTTCATACCTACAGGATGGTCAGGCAGTGTGGCCACACTTTTTAATCGAGCCCCAAGCCACAGGTTCACCCCAGCCTTGCTCATGAGTGCTTGGCTCCTGTGAAGTGTCCCAGGCATTGGGCTTATCTTAGTATCATCCTGTGTGTGCAGTTTCTCTAACTCTTTGACTTGGAAAAACTCACATATCTTAAGTAAGCCTGGGCAGGCGGGGTGCAGACCGCACAGGTTGACTTCCCTACTTTCTTTCTTAGGAGAGCCAGTGAGAGAGCCCTCCTCAGGAAGGAGGAGTCCACTTTCCCTGGCCAACGTCCTCAGTGTCCCCAGACCTCACATCCCTTTCCTCCTGTCACCTCCTCTGTGAGGCTGGCAAGCCTGGTCATGGTCAGCATTTCAGTTCTGGCTTTTATGATGGTTTTGGGTTTTATTTTCCAAGATCCTGATTTCTGGTAACTTTTGAGCCCAGTGCGTTACCACAGGAGGATCATACAGGAAAGCCCGAGTCCATTTCTTAGCTGCTGTTAAGGAACCGGGAGCTCCATTAAACAGCCTCCTCCTTGCCCATCTGGGTGGCGCAGTGATGGAGGAGCAGGGGCTTCTCCCTGTAACTCGGGGTGCTTCTCTGGAGGCTTCTCTGTGGTCTGACCGCTCTCTGTGGGTTGCTTGGTGCCCGTGAGGTCTCCAGGCACTACCAGCGTGTGTTTGTGCAGAGGTCTAGTTTGTAATGGAATTGAGGGTGCTCATCCTCTCACCCCACAGAGCTGCCTTTCTCTGTTTGACAGTGGAAAGATGATCCAAATTATATGTATTTGGACTTTCTGGCCTTATTTTCTGCCAAGTAGAGCCTTTTGGTTAGGCGTAGTATTGGCCCTTGGCTTGGGGTGCAGGAAGCTTCTAAGTGACCCTCTGTTCAGACCTGACACCACAGGCCCTGGGGCCTGGCCTCAGCCTCCTTGTAGCTCGGTAGTGCTCTGCATCCACTCGTGAGCCACGAGCCTCACCTGAATGCGATCGCCTCCCTGGGACGTCCTCACTCAGTGGCGCCTGCCGTGGCTGCCACCCCTTTCCCTGCTTCCCACCCTTGCCTGTCTCAGCCTTTCCCCTAATGTCCCCTCCCTGCCCCACTTGCCTTTAATGCTTGGTCCCTGGGGCACTTACCCAAAGGGAAGATGCATGTGGGTTCTCTCTTCCCCACTTGTCTGTGTTTCCTGAAGGCAGGAACTCTGTCTGGGGAACTCTGTCTGGGGCCGCTCTGTGTCCCCATAGCACCCTGAACTAAAGGGGCCAAAGGTGGGTTAGAGATTAAGGAAATACGGGGCTCGGCAGGTGGACAGCCTGGTGTTAGCTGTTGATTTGATCTTTGCAATGGGCATTGCCAGCATGAGTGTAAGGGACCCCAGGAGCGAGGTTTGTGTCCCAGGACCTGCAGGGACATTTGGGCATAAGCATTGGACTTGCCATTGTGAGAGCACCTGTGGTTTCCTGCTGGCTCATGGCTCTTAAGCTGGACAAGAAACTTCTAAATTCTGGGGAGGAAAAAAAACACATTTAGAAACCACCCTGGGCTTGGCATTGTGGATAAGAATAAACAGCCTGTGATCTCTGGTATGTTCGGTTTTACCATCAGAAACCAAATACATGCCCTTTTTTTCTTAGAAAATGTAAAAATCCTAATAATGCTTCTAAAGTTAAGAGGTGCCTCATTCAGTGGTAACATCTGCTTGTTCATCTGACATGGTGAACACACAACTCACTAGCTCAGTGACTTGACGATTCTTTGTGCAAAAATTCAGCAAGTAGGTAAATACATAAATTCAAAACAAAACTCTGCTCAACACGTCTCCTTAGAAAACAATTATAAGGACTTGGCAGGTCACGCCTGTGATTTTAGCTGGTGGGTGATTGAAAGACCATTGCCAACATGAGAACTTAAAGGGACAGTTTCAGGAGGTGCTGGCCCTGCGTCCTCCTCTGTAATACACTGTGGCTCCCTGTGCATCTGGCTATGGAAAGTGAATGCAGAGCCCTCCTATAGGATCAGGCCTCCTGGCACTTTAATAAGGTCAAGTTCAGCAGTGCCAGACTCATAACCTGGCACTGCCGATGTGTTTCAGAGTAGAGCAGTGCAGGGCTGCAGCTGTGATCGGAGACTTTCTTAAACAGAAGGCGCCAACCACCGGAAAATGAAATGTTGGGTTAGAAGTAATAATTACTATTTGAACAAATATTCAAATCCTAAGACTTTGGTCTTAGTGTAATTCTGTACCAGTTCCACAGGGGAGACCATCACTGGCTCAGCGTGTACTGTGCTGTGTCTTTGGCATGTGCGATTTCTATCCTCCTCCCTGCTCCATGGGGAATTTCTATAGTTCCCCATTTTAAGAACGAGGAAACAGAGACTCGGTGCTGTTAAGGCACTTGCCTGATGTCTCGGGGCTGATGCAGGGAGAACAGGGTCTACCCGACTTCCCAGCGGTGCTGCTGCTGCTGTGGCATGGACCATACTTCCTGCCTTCCCTGCAGAAGGAGGGTGTGGACTCGCCCGGCTTCCCACCGGGTGACAAGAGCAGTGGTGAAAAGCTTCAGGTGTCTCCGTGGATACTAGTTTAGAACAATGCCCAGGCGCTTGCAGTGCCACGAGGGAGCTGCAAAACATCACCTCACTGTGGCGACTCTGATAATCTCCCACTGATTAATGACTTGGATTGACAGTTACAAGTGTTCGCCCTCGATGACTGCCTTGCTTGCACAGTCTCTTCAAGCTTGCTGCCATGGGAGCACACCTAATCCATGTGGTCCCCGGGGAGAACAAGCTCACCTGCTTTTAGTCTGGGACAGTAGGGTACATTCACAAGTCCAGGTGGCCCTTTGGTGGTCACCCAGTTTCCTTGTCCCCCTGACACAGCTGCATCAGCCCCTCCTTCCCACATCCAGTAGAGGGAAGGCGTCCTTTTAACCACCTGAGCTGTGGGTGTTACAGGTGTGCGTCACCGCACCTGGCTCTGATCTGATTTTAATGGTGGGCACCTTCAGTCTCTCCTACTGATGTTTAGAAGAGAAATGGTGAGGAAATTGGGAGCAGCTGCCTCCTCCCTCTCCCAAGGACTCTCTTCTTTTCCCCTGAACACAATGTCATTTGTGTTAAAAGTTGCAGAATACTGGCAGTGAGCAGTAATAATACATCAGATCACCATCCCTTATACCCGTGTTACCTGTTGCAGGGCTTTTGTCTCACAGGTTTCATCTTAGCCAGCACAACGTGGCACTTTGAGCTCCATTTGAGGGTCAAGTCGATAGGCACGGAGCAATTAGGTGAACTGACTTCCTCCGACTTCCTCCGTCCTGGGAGCAAAGCTCCTTCTGTCTGCTGCCCAGGGCTCTTCCCAGTCTTCTAGCAAAGCTCTAGCAATTGGAGTCAGAAAAAAAGAGCAGTCAAGTCCTGTCTGTGTGCCTCGTCCCAGTACACAGTGATTACCAGAAGCAGCCCTCGGACAGGAGAGGCCCTTCAGAACACTTTGCGCCTCTGCAGCGCCAGGCAGCCCCATGCTTCAGCGACTGGGCTTACCCTGGAGCTGCTGAGAGGATGCACCCTTGGGGCCATTGGGGTAACCCCTCCTGGCCTGTCACCTGCATGTGGCCTGGTGCAGAAAGGGGGCTGCAATTGGACAGGGCCTCACCCCCATGCCTACCCTGTGAGGTAAAGCAGATGAGTGAGGTTTCTATAGCCAATTTCATTTAGATGCTTCCACAAAATACATCAAGCCATACTGTCACACGCTGCCTCTAAAGAGATGAATGGGGACACTGGCAGTGGGAAGGGGAACCCTCTTGGCAGGTAGAGGGGAGGCAGGTAAGTGAGCTTGGTGGTGACCCAAAATGCAGCCAGACTCGGGGTCCAGGGAGTGAGCATAGTGTCCAGGTGGGATACCCTGAGGAGAGCTGGTGTGGTCTCTCGTTAAGAGGCCACAGGCTCCTGGTGTCCCTTGCGCCATGGGTGCTCCGTTACATGATGCAGGGACGGCTTGCTATTGTTACCGCTGTTGACACCAGAGAAACTCGCCCAGGCAAGTGTAGAGTGGAAAGTAGAAGTTCAATAAAGGACAGCAGAAAGCACTTCTCCCCGGAGGAAGGGGGACCCAAAAGGTGGAATCCGTGGAATGGCGAGGTCTTCCCTCTTTTATAGCTAAGGTCTTCCTTCAGCTTTCCCAATCTGCAGTGTTGGAATGCAGGTGGGAAGGCCCAAAAGGTGGGAAACAGGCGGGCTGAAGGAGTAATCTGAGCAGGAAGGGCCTGGGGCAGTTTTGGGGTTTGGGGGTTGCTTCTGATGAGCACCCCCCTGTTTGCTGGGAGCTGCTTCATTAACATTTCTTTAGGATGGGCTCTGGGCCTTGGGAACACTTCAATTTCCCCAAGTGCTGCTCTGCTTCTCCAGGCTCCATTCTCAACATGGCCTTCATTCTCGATTTTACTCCATATTAGACCCGATTGACCTAACTACACTGACTACCTATCTTTAAATCTGGCTTCAAGCCCACAAGCTGGTGTGTCCACCAGAATGATGTTATCTCCACCAGGAGATGGAGATTCTGTCCACAAGCTGAGGTTCTTGAGTTCATTCAGCTAAAACCACAAATGGCTGTAGGTTTTAAGAAAGTCTCCAGGATAATCCTATCTTTTTAAATTTTTTTTATTTTTATTTTTTAGTTGTAGTTGGACACAATACCTTTATTTTATTTATTTTTATGTGGTGCTGAGGATCGAACCCAGGGCCTCGCTCTTGCTAGGTGAGCACTGTACCACTGATCCATGACCCCAGCCCCAAGGATTGTCCCATCTTAAAGCACATATTGAAGAATCACTGTTTCGGTGACGCCTTTAGCCGTATGTAGAGGTAAAGGAGCTTTACACCAGCACTGCTACATATATTTACTTTTATCTTAAAAAAAAAAAACGAGACCTGTGTTAGTCAATTGTGGCAGCAGTCACTGTGGCCAGCATACCTAGTGCAGGCAACTTAAAGGAGGAGAAGTTTCTTTTGGCTCATGGTGTCAGAGGTGTGAGTCCACAGTCAGTTGGCTCATTGCTCCAGGCCTGAGTTAAGGCTTAGCACTACAGAGGAAGAAAGTCCATGGCAGCCAGGAAGCAGAGAAAGAAAGGAGGAGGAAGAGGCCGTGGACAGGTGTAGTCTACCCTAGTGACCTACTTCCTCTAAGAACACCCCACCTGCCAATAGTCCATTGAAATCATTAACCCATCACGTGGATTAATCCCTTGTTGGAGTCTGAGCCCTCCTAATCCAATTATTTCCCTAAAGCCCAGTCTCTTGGTACCTCTGCAGTGGGAACCAAGCCTTCAACCTGTCAGCCTTTGGGGGACATTCTAGATCCAGCTACAACAGGCCTTGAGCTTTATGGATTGCCACTGGTGCTTAATATAGGGAGGTCCATGTCACATCGTGGTTTTCTTTTCAAGTAAAGAGACACCCGGTAGCTCCAGGTTGTGGTTTCTGCAAGAACAGTGTCCCTTTTAGGTCATCCACTGTTGTACTTGCCGTGCCCCAGGCAGTGCAGGGCACACAGTAGTGCTGGGCAGGGCGTTTAGCTAAGCAGCAGGACTGAGTTTCCGAGGACACTCCTAGGTGCCTTAGGCAGGCTGTGGGGTTTCTAGTCTCCAGCAATTGTCTGCAATTTTATTTGCAGCTCAAAGCCACCAGTTGGAATAAGTCACTTCTCTGCCTAATTGGGCTTCAGTAGTCTTTGTATTTGAAAATCTGGTTTGGACCTGCCCTGTAGACACTGTAGAACTTGGGAAACACTCCAGTGACTTGGGAAATTTCCCTTGTAAGCAACACTGGAGGAACAATGATATCTGTCCTTCCCTTGCTCTAGAGTGGAGCTGGGGTTGGGTCCACAGAGGACAGGTACAGGTTTAGTTCCAAGATGTCGTTAGGACATGTCGTTACCTGTGCTGCATGTGAGGGTTACAGAGAAAACCATCACCCCAAATGCACATGCGCTTTCATCTAAAAACTCAGGGCACAATGTTCAGATCTGCCCAAAGCCAAAAACCTGTGCCTGGTCACACCATTTCAGTTCCTTGGGGGTTCCCTCAGATTCCCTAATGGAGAAAGTCCCTGCAGCAACAAGTTCACCATTCTGCCAGCAGCTGAGCTGCACCTACCTGTTGGCTGTATCAGTAGTCTCTGGTCATTGGGCATCACCAAAAGCAGGGCCTTGTTCCGTGCCCCACCCTGGCCGGCCTAGTTCTTTCCAGTCATGTCTGAAGCTCTGATCTCACTTTGTGCTTCTTTTGCAGAGTTGGGTTACAGAAACTCCTATGAAATCGAATATATGGAAAAACTTGGCTCCTCCTTACCCGTAAGTTCTTCCTCACTGCCCTTTGTTGGGGACATGCAGGCCGAGACCTCTCCTGGGAAGGGTGTCTCTGGAGCTCAGAGCTCAAGTGGGCCCCTCTGTTTCCAAGCATTCTGGGGGGCACGCTGCTGGCGAAGGGGGGCTGGGAGTTTGAGATTTATACTTGGTTCACATCACTGGGCATTTTTCAGAAGAAACTAATTAGGTTTCCTGCAGAATTACTTTCCTAGACCAAGAAAGAGCTAGTCAGAATTTCTTTCAGAGTGAGTGAGGTAGAGGTGGTTGTTTTAAAAGTGCCCTAAACGGTTTTATACAAATTACAGTTGGCCCTCCCTATCCATGGGTCATATCAGCTGTAGATCAAAAATGCTCTTGAAAAACAGTAGGCTGGGGATGTAGCTCAGTGGTAGAGCACTTGCCTGACATGCATGAGGCCCTTGGTTCACCCCCAGCACCATCAAAAAGAAAAACAAAACCAAAAAACCCAAATGCAACTATTTTGAACAAATATAGACTCATTTTCTTGTCATTGGTCCTTAAATAATACAGTATAATAATTTCTTTTACATAATATTCACATCATATTAGGTATTATAAGTAATCTAGGGCTGATTTAAAATACATGGGAATATGTGGTGGCTATATGCACATTCCATGCCGTTTTATGTAAAGGACTTGGGTATCCAAGGGGCTCTTGAACAAATCCCCATGGATATTGAGGGACAATGATAAGTAACCCCCCTATTTATTTTAAGAGGCTGTAAGGCCCCCTCCCCCTTTTCACTTTGACTGGTTGTGGTGGGCCGCTGTCTCCACGACTTAAGTGTTGGTTCTGCCCGTGGCCTCCTTCCGTGCTGTTGGCCAGCCATGTCCTCAGAGCATGTGCGGGAGGGCTCGCTACAGCCCTGAATGGCCCTGGACGTGTTGCTCTTATCTGTTCTTCCCATGCGTCCTTCACAGATGCTGGGGTTACTGCTTCTAAACTGCAGGGGACCAGAAGGTCAGGCAGGAAACATCAGGACACAGAGGGAAGTCACGGCTCCCTGAGGATGGCGCATCATGGGCTTTGTTGTGATCTCTTGATGCATTGCTCAGAGAGTGGCCGCTTCCCCCTGAGACCACAGCTGTGTCCCTGAGAGTTGACACCACATGCATAATACGACACTTGGCCACTGAAGTGGAACAGTCCCGTGTTTTGATGTCATTGATTTAATGGGACTAAACCACAGCGTCCCCTCTTGTGCACCGCCTGCTGACTCGGGCATTGGCAGGCTTCGAGGATGAAGTTCACGAGACGTGTGCTCTGCCAGCAATCAGAGCCACCAGAGGTTTCTGTGATGTGATGGCGCACGCACACTGGCCATTGTTTGTGCTTCTTTGGGGACCCCAGCAGGGAGGATGTAGGGTCTCCCCATCCCAAAAAGATGCAAGTCCCCATTCCTGGACATGGCATTCAAGATCTGGGGGGATCTGATAATGGCCCCCAGCCTCTCATTTCCTCCCCCTTAGCTCCACACTGTACGCCCCCATGAAGAGTCCAGCCGAGCCTCTCCACAGGCCCTGAATGTGCCTGGACTCCCAGCCTGCACCACGCTCTCTGTTCATGCCCTGTCCACCCCTGCCCCCAAGAGGAGCCCCCTCTTCTCAGATTGGACCCATTGCTTTGTCTCTTTCCGGTGCCTTAGTGGCAGGGCTCATCACACTGGGTCATGGTGCTGATGTCCTGCATTCATCTGTGATCTTGCCTTACCCCTCTGTTTATCCTCAGGGGCCAGCATGAGGGTGGCCAGTAAATGAGTTGAACACAGTGTGGCCCAGCAGGACCATCCAGATCTTCCTCCCTTCGCACGCATTCCCACTTGCGAGGGTCCCGCACCCCCCTCTTCCTCCCCTCCCGTTCCCTTCCCGGCCCCGTGAGTCAGAGCTCCCCTGAGTTATTTGCTCTGCCTTGAGGAGCGCTCTGGTTTGTCATCTTCCCAAGCTAACGTGTGACTTTGATCCCTGCAGCAGGACGATGACACCCCGAAGAAGCAATCCTTGTACCTTATGTTCGACACGTCTCAGGAGAGCCCCGTTAAGTCTCCGACCCGGATGTCCGAGTCCCCGACGCCTTGTTCAGGGTACGACTTCCACTGTGACAGTTACCAACAGGCCTGAAGCCCCGAGCACCCGCCTGCCGTGGCCCTGATGTCACAGGCAGCCCACGCTCCAGGCTCTGTTCGCACAGGCAGATGCATTGGTCTTGTTACTGGGGCCCTTTGAACTAAGGTGAAACCCTTCAACCACTGACGGCATGAACCCCCACCGTCCCCACAATCCACACGCGACTTTGTCATTTATCCAATGGTGGAAGGCACTCAGAACCCGAGTCCCACTTCCACCCCGTAAGGGCAGTGTGACCTGATGTGACTCACGTGTCCCACGTGGGCCTCAGTTTCCTTGAGTGTGATGTAATAGACTGACCACGCAGGCATTTAGGAAGATTCCAGAGGCCCCAGCACCTCCCTCAGCTGTGCGAGGGGCACAGGGTCCCTGGCTTCCCATCAGTGCTGTGTGGAAAGCTCTTGCCAGGCTGTCTGGCCCACACAACGTGCTGGATACACGCATGTTATCGACACAGATGTGGCTCGTGTCCTGAACAGCGTCATGTTTGATGGGGGAGGTGTGGGAGTGCTTTAAGATTCTGACCGTCCCACATTCGTCTGCCTGCTCTTCTTTGACTTCTCAAACTCACGGACCAGAATCTGCCTGGGAGGTGAGATGGTGATGGTATACGGCAGAGGTCGCACCACATGGGAGGTCCACTCGGTACCTCATCTCACCCTCCCGTAGGTACTTGTCTTTGCTTATAGGAAAGGAAGCCGGGATGTGGTGTCTTCACCTCCCCCAGAGTACACAGCCAAGCAGCAGGCCGTCTGCTTGATCCTAGAGCTTGTGTCCCCAGTGGCATCTGGCTCTGTCACAGGTACTACTGGAGACACAGCTCTGGAGCTCCAAGGTGGCTTGGGATGTTGCCTGGTTCAGGGCATCCTGGCTGATTTCAGTGGGGTTTCCGAGGAGAAGACTCTAAAGATGCCCTTTGCTTCCACAGGTCAAGTTTTGAAGAGACGGAAGCCCTCGTTAATGCTGCAGCAAAACTCCAGCGTCCTGTCTCACGAGGGCTAGCCTCCAGCCAAGAGCCACACTTACAGGTGCCGGAGAAGTCCTCCCAGCCAGAACTGGAGGCCATGGCCCTGGGCACCTCCTCAGAGGCGATTGAAATCGTAAGTAGGGCCAGGGCCCCAGAGTGAGATCACAGGGGACGAGGCCAGGGCCTGCTGGGTGCCATCAAGCTCAGCTGGCACCTGCTGTGGCCCCACCCTGACCCCCAGACCACAGGAGCCAGCCTGGGAGACCCCAGGCATCACCCCAGGGAAAGACACGTCTCCTACCTGGCTTCGCAGTTCTCACCTGGGTGCTTTATTTGCCCCCAGCGTTATTTTTTTCCGTTTTTCTCCCCTTGGGACTGGACTATGCTTTGGGGCCACCACTGGCCAGTACTCTGCCTCTTCGGCTTGATGGCAGATCCGAGAGTGGCAGAGCAGGGGACACCCTCCTCTTGGAGCTCAGGTGGTTTCCCTGGGTCCCGCTGATGGGAATTTCTCTTCCCCTCCCCCAGCCCATTCCCTGATGTCACATGCACCTGGGGCCCTGGGGTTCCCTAGAGTATGTGATGCATGTGTGATGGTCTCCACGCATCTTAACGGACCATTCCCCTAGGCAAATTTTATTTCTTTACTTCCTTCCTAGCAATCCCCAGTGTTTTTGAAGCCACTGATGTAGTGTGTGATTTTTGGTCTGCCTTAGGAGACTTCATTTATCTCACATGGCAAACACTTATTGAGCACCCACCCTGCGTGGATGTGGACTCAGTTGGAGGCTGGGTGGACTATTGGAAACATAAAAATGGGCAAAACGAGATCTGGATGTTAATCGGCCTCTCAGATCACTGCTGTGGAGGACTCGTCCACTATTCACTTTCTGCAAAGTTGGCTTCTGATTTGAAGGCTTTTTGATCTGCCAGGAGATACTTTTTTTCCTTTTGAAATCATCTTTCCATTGTTTAGAAAATTGCCTTTACCAAAACCTTACTTTCTCTGGTATTTACGCCTGGAGCTCTTTCCTTGTAGAGTGAGGTCAGGTTTTGAAAACCCATCACCTAGCTTCTGCCTCCCACCACTGAGATTTCCAAGCAGAAGCAAATGGTAACTTGGCTTCAGCCTCTGGCCAGGGAGTAAGGGTGGGGAGGGCACAGGAGACTGTGCTTTTGGGGAGTGGGGTGGGCCTGCCAGTGTCAAGGTGTCCACTGTCAGCATGTGGGTGAGGATTGGATGCCCCCTTTAGCCTGAAGGCAGAAATGTCCTGCAGACAGACAGATGTGTGGTCCATCAATGTCACTCTCTGCTCTCCTCCTTTTTCCTTCTCGTCCTCTCCGCCACCGCTCAGACAGCTCCCGAGGCTGCCTTTGCCTCTGCTGACGCCCTTCTCAGCAGGCTGGCCCACCCCGCCTCTCTCTGTGGTGCACTTGACTATCTGGAACCCGACTTAGCAGAAAAGAACCCCCCAGTATTTGCTCAGAAACTTCAGGTTTGTAGCCAACGTGTGACCTTTTGGGAGTTTGTCAAAACCTCAGTAGAGAATGAACCCCCGAGCCCCAGATGAACTGAGGCCGGATATACTGAGGAGTTGCCGAGAATGTTCCAGATGAAACATCTTCCCCTCAGGCACTGATATGCGGTGTGCCAAAATTATACAAATGATGCAATTGCATATTGAAGGAACCATTTCCATTTCAGTTTGGAAACTGGACCAAAACAGTCATTTTTCAGATGTAGTGATAACCCCAACAGCAGTGTCTGTGATTCATTCACCAAACCAAAGGTATGAGGTCACCATCAAGCCTGGACTAGGCGATCTCAGAATCCTGTTGAGATAACATCTGGACTCAGTCTTGCATCTGGAACCAAAACGATTATCTACTCCGCACTTTTACATTTGACAGCTTAATTTGATATCCCCTAGACTCGAACTTTGAAAGGAAATCTAGAGAGACGGCTCACAGTCATTTGACAGATGCACATTCATTCATGGAAAGTGTTGGCCAACTTCACTTTAAAAAGGAAAAAAATCAAAGACTGTGTATAGTACAGTAAAAATTTGGATCCATTTCATGTTTGCATAGGTTCTCTGTAGAGACTTAAAAGGACAATATTTTTAAAAAAGGAAATTAAACACGGTTTCATGATCTGCTGAGGTGCTTATTGTGAGAAAGCCAAGCGTGTGTCTTTCCCGAGTACCTGTCATGACGCATTTACATGGCACATTCATTTCTTGGGTGCGGAAAACATTACATCTGTCTTGATACGTTTCCCCTGCGGTCTGCTCATACCCCACCCCTTGGGCAGGAGGAGTTAGAATTTGCCATCATGCGGATAGAAGCCCTGAAACTGGCCAGGCAGATTGCCTTGGCTTCCCGCAGCCGCCAGGACACCAAGGTACTGGTTTGCGGCTGCAGTGCGCTGCCCTCTGAGAATGCTGTGTGTGCCACCGTGGGCCAGTGCCTGCTTTGCTAACCGTCGGTCAGGCAGGCGTTGTGGGTGCCCGGCCAAGTGTGATTTCCAGAAAGCTAAAAGTGTAACTCTTGCATAAACACGCTAAGCACATGTCTAAGATCTGCTTAACTCAAGAATGCGTTCGCCAGCAGATGGTGGTGCTGGCTAGGTGGGGAGAATCAGAGAAGCCAGTATGTGGTTGGGGTGTGTGTGTGTGTGCAGGGGCGGGGAGGGGAGGGGCACGAAGAAGGCTGGAAGAGTGGCAGAGTTGATATCAAACCGGAGAATCCTGGTTCAGATGAAAAAATCATCACCTTTGAGGTTATCATTTTTTTTCCCCCTACAGATAATGTGTGCTTCTCTATGGAACAAAAATCATTCGCAACTTTTCTGTTTTCTACAAGTTCACATCAAACTTTACTGAGAATCAGCAGTAGGTAGGAAGTGAAAGCAAAACCTGTGCGGAGGCGCTGGACCATGTGCTGACGCGGGGTTAGCGGCAGTCCTTTTGGTAAAGGGCTTGCAGAAATAGTGCAGATTTGCAGGGCCCACACACGGCCTCTGCCTGACAGTGCCTATGCAGCCTCAGAATATGTGCAGAGATGGCCAAGGAACTGTACCTGTTTGTTTGGTTTTTAATTTTAAAAGAGGGCAGCAGGCCATTTTCCTTGGACCAGCATTTGCTAGCACCCGGTTCTTGAGTGTGACCTTGACAGGGCATGTGGAAATCTTTCAGACTGGCTTCCAGGTTTGGGGTGAGTTTTCTTAAGGGTTAGAAATCAATGCTGATGACGGACAGGCAGTGTGTCGCCCCAGGTTGCTGTCGAGCTGTGGTCTCTCAGCATTGGCCTCGTCCCACCCCTTTTTACTACCCAAAGTTGGGCAGCGCAGTGGACATGTTGTGTGACACTGGAGCTGGACCCCACTTGTATTCTGTGGCTTTGAATGAGTTAGTGAACCTCTCTGGGCCTCGTTTTTTTTCCACCTGTGCATTGAGGCTCATCACAGCAAGTTTGTTGGTGCAGTGAGGGCTCCAGATGGTGTATGAGGAGAAGCCCCTGCCTGGCACATAGTAGATGTGCAAGAAAAGGAAGATGCTGTGTTGGCCTGCACCCCATTTTTGCCTCTTACCTGGTCAGATGTTCCCAGTGTCTCCTCAGGAAGCAGGTCCAGGTCTTGTTTTACAAGTGGGAAACCGAGTCACATGGTGATACGGGAATTTCAGCAGCTGCTCCTGCCTGTAAGACCCCACCTGGGTCTCTCTGGCTGCAGCCGAGAGGAAAGCCCCTTCCAGAGACGGGAGGTGGTCCCACAGTGGGCGTCCAGACTGAGAACAGTGGACATAGGGCAGTCACAAGAATGTAAAAAGAGATCAGTGATGTGTTTGTTCTTGTTGCCAAACCAAAAACTTAGGTGGAATGTCCATGAAGGTTGGAGTTTTAGAAAGCGGTCAGCAGTGAGGGATTTCTTCCTCCGCTGGGTTGGTTTCCTGGTCTCCTGTAGGAATGGCTTGACTGGTGGATTCCTCTCGGAGGACGTGGTGCCTAGCCAAGCATGCTCCTCTAAGTAGTTCAGGTCTGCATGGAGTGTGGTGGGGTCCCCTCCTCCCTGGGCAGGCAGAAGGCAGTCCTCGGCAATTGGCAAGTAGCGGTCAGCTTCCTGTCGGTTACAGCCAGTTCTCAGACATGTGTCTCCATCATGATTTAATAGTGTTTCCTGGATCCCGCGAGTGTGGGCCAGAGAGGCGCCCAAGCCACCTCCGGAGGTGTTTCAAAACCTGTGCTAAGAGGAATATTCTATCAAGGGAACTGTCTTACCTGTAAGGAGCACTTCTCTCCACAGGGGTGACTTGTATTGATCTTGGTCAGGACGTCCCCTGGGGACTGTGGCCTGTAGAAACAGACACTCTCTCTGGGCAATCCAGTGGCTCCAGCAGGTACATCCCTGCAGGTCTCTTCTTTGTCAGGTAGAAGCTTGATGGCCCCCTGCTGTCCTCTGCATGGGAACCTGCTGGCAGACAGACAGAAGAGCTCTTCTTTCTGCCCTTGTGCTTCAGCTGCAGGCAACATGGCCCTGAGGTGTTACAGCATGATCTTGAGCTGCTATCAACACAGAGATGAGTTCTCGTGGAGTAAGGCTGTCCTGTTGAGAGGAAAGAACCCACAGGAATGGGAAGGGCTTTTGCGAAGTATTCCATGTTTAAAACTTCAAGGGACGTTTCTCTTAGACTGACGGAGTGAGTTGCCCCTCTGAACTACAGTGAGGGACGCTCCCTGGTTAGAAAACGTTACGGATGAGGAAAAGTCCGTGGGAGCCAGGGTGTCAGGCTGCAGCCTCATTATTAGGCTCCTCCCATGTGCTTCTGGTGAGCTGAATCGAGTTTGTCCCCCGAAGCTGACCGAGGTGGCTGGATCTGCCATGCAGCCACTCCAAACATAACACTGAGCTAGATGGAAGGGACCTGCCACATCCTGTCTTTGTGGCTTCTAAGGGGTGCCAGGCACGGGCACATTGATTTAATTCATTTGTGTGACATTCTGGTGGTGATCCCTGGAGCTACTGGGCTTTCTCAGTGAGGGAGGACCCATGATAAAAACTGAAGGATGCTTCTGGTAGCACAGGAGCAAGGTCACGTGAATGGCAGGCAGGTCCCAGCAGGGGCTCCCACAGGGAGGGGAATTGGCCTGCTGACGTCACGCCGTGTCTGATGTCTCCCAGAGTCATGGCTTAGGCCCACAGGTGGCTGGGGCAGCCATATTGCTGGTGGGCAGCCTGTTGGCTCTGAGACACACACACCTCCCCTCCCACCACCATTTGGCAGGGGGCCGAGGAGGGAGATGTGTCCCGAGCCTTGAGAACAGTCTGGGGAGGAGCGAGCAGAGAACTTGCAGACACTGCCTCGACCTGGTGCAGTCAGGATGGAAGGCCGAGTCTTGGCTTGGTGGCCAGCGTGGCCACCTGGTGCCTGATGGTGCCGTCTGTGGAGTGGGGCAGTGGTGTGGGATGATGTCCGCCCTGTTTGCCACTCCAGGGCTTAGGAACTGTCTGCCGTCAGTATTGGATGGGACAGCTCCCAGCTGAGTCCGCTCTGCTGCCTGGATAGGACCAGACACTCCTGGACACTCAGGTGGGGTCCACACTCCATGGCCTTAGCTCTGTGTGCAGGTCCTTGACTCCTGGTCCTCACCCCTGCAGGTCCTCCGCACCACAGCTCTCTGAGCTTTCTGTCTGTCCTCCCACAATCAGCCTCCAAGTGTTCTGGGGACAGGGATCCTGCCACAGTCCAAGCCCTGAGGCCTGACAACAGGGAACTGGCCTCAGGGAGGACCCTGAGCCTGGGTAAGTGGCAGGACCCTATTCCCTGGCTGCAAGGCCAGAAGGACCCTGGCAAGAGGCCTGTAGGTCTGTAGCCGGAGACAGTGGCCTGGGGGGTCACACAGGACCCCGGACTTGAGGAATGGATTGATGGCTGAGGTTGGCTGCAAGGGCTGGTGCCTTCTGAGTCCTGGCCCTTCACGTCTCAATTTGTGATTTCTAGTGGCTTTAGTCCCTCTAAAGTAGCAAGTGGGAAATTATGTGAGAGGAGCAAAACTTCATCTAAAAATATCTGATCTTAAAATATCAGTGAGAGACGGACCTTTGAGTTTCAGTTGAAAACAATTCTTAGTTGTAAGGAGAAGCCAGGGTGTGGAAGATGAGTTCCATTATACAGACAGGTGCTGATGCAGGGCAGTGATTCACATGCGTCCTGAAGTCCTCTGTTCCTTTATTGAGAGGACCAGGTGCCATCAAAAAGGTGACGGGGACTCGCTCTGTGGTCATGATCACTTCAGTGTTGTATGTATTTTTCATTCCCCTCTTTGTTCACAAAGGACTTTGGGCAGCTTAGGGTCATTAATCCCTTCCTTGATCCTATTTAGCTCCTGCTCAGTGTAATAAAGTTAGTTTTCACTAAGTTCATTTTCTCCTGCGTTTCGGGGAGTGGTTTATTTGAGGGTCAGAGCTGAATGTCATTTTGGGAAGTTTTTAAACCAAATCTCTCCGATCCTCATTTTACTCAGAAGGACCAGGATGAATGTGGTGGTTCTAATGTTCTGTTCATTTTGAAATATTTTTGTTCTAATTTTTTAAAAGAACACATTTAAAAGTGATCGGAGGGCTGGGGTGCAGCTCTGTGGGAGTGCACTTGCCTGGTGCACCCAGAGCCCTGGGTTTGAATCCTAGCATCCCCCCCCCCCAACCAAAAAAAAGAAAATTGTTAAAAACATTAGGAACATTTTTTTTTTTCCTTTTAAAGACCTCTTCTGAATTTTGTTTGTGAACTTTCAAGTATGAGTGCTGAGCCTGGAGAAGCTTCCCCTTGCAGGCAGAACTGTAAAAGCCCGTTTCCAGCAGCGGGGATGCAGCCCTCTGGGCAGAGGTGCCAGCCTGCAGGCACTCGGCCTGCCTGCTGCCAGGGCTGTCCACCGCGTCTGGTCAGGTGTCATCTTGAGGATCAGAGGCTGAGAAGATGGTGGCCCCCCATTTGACCTGCGGGCGAGTTTCTGGGGTCTGCTGGGCCAGGGCTGTGTGCTCCTCACTCTGACCAGCTGATCACGGCCTCTCACCTCAGGGTCAGCCCAAGAGCTCAAGGCCAGGCAGAGGCAGTACAATCCAGAGGCAGGTGGTCTCGTCCAGGACTCTTGTTCACCCTGCATGTGTTCAACTAACTGCCCTGACTCCTCATCTCCAGTCCTATCCATTACACTTCCACCCGGGTTTTCTGAGCTGTCTCTTTTTCCCAAGGTCATTTGCCCTGGTGCTGTGGTAGGGTCAGCATGGCTGTCCTGTGATTAGAGACACTCCACTCAAGTGCCTGCAGGTCCACCCCTTCCTGAGACCGCTGGCCCTTTTATCTTATCTGCTGCCCTTTACAGTCCTCGCCCTTCTTTCCCTACATCTGTCTTCCTCCTACACCACGATGCTCTATCTGTTCACTGCCCAGTCCTGTCTCATGATTTCCTAGGGAAGACACAGCCCCTCTCCACCCTCTTAACCACCACGGGCTCACACTGGACTTAGAAGTAGGGTCGAGGTCCCCTTGGCAGCCATAACAGCACCATCAGGTGAATGGATGGGACTGAGAGCGTGGCTGGCTTGCTGTTCTTGTGGTGGTAGAAGTAGGCTGACGAACCTGGCTGTGCTGATTGATGATGCTTCTAACCCTGCATTTCACCCAGGCTGCAGGTTGCCAAGCACTCTGTGCCAAGGGAAGAATAACCATGGCCCGCTTGCTCCTAACCTCCCCTGAAAAGGATAGAAAGCCTCAGGCCAGTGTCATCTGGTGGGGTGGGGATCATATCAGCAAATGTGGAGATTGCCATTGACCCAGTTGTCCGATTTCCTGTAGATGCAACAGACTTAACTCCAACGTAAACCTTACGCCCAGAGACTCCAGCTTGTTGAAGTTGGCATGGTTGATTGCTACAGCTTTAAATGTGTGAATCGCATCCTTTCAAACGGAACTAAACAGATGCCCCCAAATTCAGATGTGGCCAGTCTTCCAAAAGTGATCAAATCTGCGGTTATACAGAACCGGGAAAACGTAGATTAGAATTCAGTATCATTCATGGGAAAGATTTCATTCTGAAACTGGAGCCTGCTGGATAATGACCTTGGTCTCATGCACTGTGCCTAAGTGGCTTGGCATCTGATAAGTGGCAGTGATAAGCCGGCACCAGACCCCCCC